CCAAAAATTGGCCCGATGATTCTTGATTGATGGACTGTGGAATTTTTTTAGTTAACTAACAAATGACCCGAAACATAACAAGGAAGGTATCTCTATAATAGGCCCTTGGCGCTCTGATTAATAGAAATCATACATTTTGGTCAAATAGAAGCATTAAAAAGTTCACACTTTAAAGAATCGTTCCGATGCGACCCGATTTACAAAATCATTTTTGGTTGTGTCGAAAACAAGTCCGAAATCAAAAGCTGATTTCTGGTGAACTCAGATTTTTAAATGTAGGTCTTTCCGAGAGCCTTCCATTCGCCTATACTATAGATTTACATTTTTTGTGGTATTTCGGAAATTATTCCATTTATCCACTGAAAATAGGATTTTGAAAAAAAATTGCACAGTCCGTCGATTTGCAAGAATCAACGGCACAATAGGTGTTTACAACATAGTTGAATTCCGTAGTTCTAATTTAATAATCGTATACCAGAAACCATAAAACAATGTTTTGGACAGTAAAAGTTTATTTAAAAATAGTGGCTGATTAGAAGCACCAAAAATCTTTAATGCAATGGTTTTCCGTTGCCTTGTGCAAATTACCAACTTTATAAATGTTTAGTTTTGCGGGAAATTCAAACTGTTCCCAGTCATTTTGGATCACCCGGTATTACAAACATCAACCTTATTTCTGATCATCTGAAATATGAAACTCCAAAGAATGATGTTAAGGTTGAACGTACATACCACCAGAACACCCTTTAACATTACGAAGACTAATGTGCCATTTCCGAGACGAATTCGTTGTCACACATGATTGATGCGAATAAATAATTTACTGTAATTAAACTAACGTTTTAGGTCATGGCGTATAGTCAGTGTGTAATATGTGTAAATATTTAATGTAAAACTTCAATTAAAAATTCATTCCTATGCGTCTACGCATAATGATTACAATCATTCAGTTAGTAAGTTACGTAAATAAAGGTAAGTATCCTAACTTGGCAAACGTACTAGGAAGTCCATATTACTGGTTCCGGATATTTCAAGTAAATTAGCATTTGTATTCTGTTATAACGGTACAGTTTAAACAAACTGCAATATACATTGCATGCATTTGTAATACGGGTGTTTGCAAATAATATGGATAATGTTACCAACAATTATTCCGTCTTCTTTGTTAAAACAATAATCATTGATCATCTTATATTATCTAAGGTAGTTTTTTAACCTGTTAAAGACTGAACCACACAGAACTTAAAATACTTTTCCAAAATATGTTACAAATTATTGTGTAAACATTTCGAGGTTTTTATTTTTTAAAGTAGTCCAAAACGCACGTTTCCAAAATGGGAATGCTGGAGTGTTTTGCGGCCATGGTTATTACACATTCCAAGTATAAATAAAACTGGAGATAATAAACAAAGCATGTTTGATGAAAATAAGATGTACTTGGGAATAATACTATTCACGTTTTCTGATACTTCTCGCAAGATATCTTTCTGTGGAATCTTTATTCGCACAATAAGGTAGACGCGTGGCCCCGGTGCAGCATCCCCTAAAATGTAATTCCATCCAATCGAGGCGTTGCCAACCCGGCTAATGTTTTTCTAGCTGTATCACTGAGTAGACACACTGCAACTGTTCTTATAAACTCCAAATGTATTATAACTTTTTCTTGGGATGCCGCTATTACAGAAAATTAATACTCTAACACTATTAAGCCATGCGAAAAAATCTACCCGTCACATCACTTCATTATTAATACACCAAGATTTTGTTGTCACGTCAACCCCATCATGGACCTAAATAGTTAGGTACTAGCTAGCAGCTACGGTAACAACTGAACTATCGTTCTATTTTCCGAAAATAGTTCAATGAATGTCCTTTCTGATTTGAGTCGTCGAATATTCTTCAAAAGGGCATTTATGAGGCCGGGTGCTGAGATACCCCAAACTATTACACTTCTTGAATTGAAGAAAGGCCCCACTTTTGCAACTTTTGAAGGAATTTTGAAGATCCATTGTTATCGGCCAAATGAAAACATCGCTTTGTATAAGTCTGAATCTATTTGTACTCATTTCTTTTTAGGGCATTTCCACAAAAAAATGCGCTATTTTGGCCACTTTGTCCGTCCGCCCGCTCGTTCGTGGAGACGCTACTAGTTCTTTATCTTAAGAGCAATTGTTCTACTTTTTTCGCTATTTGGTTCGATATGATGTCGAGGCTTGCACCAAGGAAGGAAATTTTTCTGCGTTTATTGCTAAAAAAGTTATTGTAAAAAAACCAAAAACCGTTTTTTACATGTTCCATAATTTTACACTTTTGCCGTTTATTAACGATCCTAGAGATCGTTTATAATTTTGTATTGCTGTCTGTCGTCTGTCTGTTGGTCTGTCCGTCTGTTCCTTTGTCTGTCTGTTCCTCTATCTGTCCGTGTGAACGATAACTTTGTTTAGAAATGTCCGATCGCTTTGACATCTCCGTTAGTTGTGAACTGAATTGCATGAAATTCAATATGGGCATAGCTTTAGCCGTATAATACGCAAGGCGAAAAGTTGAGTCGAATCGATTCAAAATTCACAGTGCGCTTTTCGCATCTCGACCATTTATAAACCGAATTGCAAACTTTTTTATTTATAAAAGTATTTGAATGAAATTTGATACATAGGCACTTGAAATAAATGAAAATCAAACGCCGGTTTCAAAATTTGGTTTTGCGCATGCGCAGTGCCAACTTTTTTATTTATGAAAGCATTTAAATGAAATTTGATACATAACCCACATAGCAGACTTATATACATTGCATATAACATGCATATTCCACGTGGGATTTTGTATATCCATAGAATGTGGAAAAGTATGTCGCAAATGTCCGATGTATGTGCATGGGATATAAGTTTGGCAGACTTCACATAATACATAGTATATATACGTTTTGGATATCTTATGTATATGCATGTACGAGTGCATGCGAGTAAAATTTCATTATTTTTTTTATGAAGTCAACAAAAAAATTTTGATTTTACTTTTTTTTTCATTATTACGTTTTTTGTATATACCGCTTTACAGCGAACATGAACGAATGTATGTCTGGAGATAAGCAGCGATCACAAGAAACGCTTTGTAAATAAGTTGACGACAAAGTGAAATTTTCCTACAGGCTCAATTTTTTACATTAAAATACAGAAATTAGCAAATAGGGCCGTTTGTTTGCTAGTAAAGCAATTAACTGGTGCATTTACTCACACCATAAAGCTTAGTTAATTGGGAAAAATTTGAATATCAAACACAGCGGAATATTGGCGTTTTACTCTAGTGCATAATAACAAAATATCGTGTATTATTTTCGCGAAATTGGAGCTGGTTTGTTAGACTTTGCAATACGTATGGACCTTTTTGCTTAGCATTCACCACGAAGTTAACGTTACCAGGATGGTACAAAAAGTCATCTGTACCATTGCAGCGGTCTAACTTTTATATTCCTGAAGAAATCGACCTTCAAAACCTTTTATATAAAAAGATTTTGTATTGCAATGGATTTAATTTCAGTATTACCATTCTTCTGGTGGGATTAAAATTTTGTTCAGCACTTGCAAGAGGTTGTATATTTGGAACAGGAGAATGTATCAGTAATTAATTATGTTGTAAAGATAAAATTTCTAGGTAAGAATGAAACTTAGCAGGGATACGTAATCACAAAATAGGCATTGCATTTTTTATTCTCTGTATTTGTCAAACGAATATTTTGTATACAGGGACGTGTAAAGAAAAATGGAACTCGATCGCTTTTATGTTTATTAATATATTCAGGCAACTAAAGACATATGCGTATTTATTCGAGTTCCATCGAACCAAAACATTAGACTTCAGACTTGAGATATACCTAGTATATAAATAGCTATTTATTATACAAGGGGGAAAAGTCAGTGTTTTTAGCGCGAGCATAAGGATCGCCTCCCGACGCGAAGCGGAGGGAGGCAATTATGTGAGCGCTAAAATTTGCTTTTTCCCCGTGTATAATACACTATTTTTTCTATACCCCTCAAATAATCATTACTATAAACAGTAATCTATTGTCGAAACCGCCATTTAGATACGCAAAACACAAAGCACGTGCGTTTATAAGGAAAGCTAGCTTACCCACCGCTCCCGAGGTTAATCGAGTTGCCGAACAGGTTGGCCCAGTGCGTTGCCTTCTAAGTAGCTGTGGTATTCGTAAATCGTGCAGGTGCACAATAAAATTAAAAAGTTAGGTTATAGTTATAAGTAATTAGGTACAATATGCATTTTTCAACAAATTGAGCAGCAGAATTATAAAAACAGAAGAGTAATTGTTGTGTTATAACAACTGTAAGTTGCTGCTAAACAAACATAATAATTAGAGCATTCAATTTCTAGGTTACATAATTTGCATTGCACGGAACTGCAGGCTGCCCTGTTTAACTCTTTATAATCAAGATATCAATAAGATGGAATTATAAAAATGGAGAATAAGTTACTGGGAGTATATTATTCATACAAAGTAATGTGGAACAAAAGTCCTACTAAAAATGTATGAATGGGTACCTTTTTGCTGCAAAATATATTGTACCAAAGAGTATTATACTCTTTGATTGTACTTATACCTACATATAATTGACACATGTAGGTACCTTACTAATAGAAACTAACACACATGTAGTACAAATTGTAGTTTATAAAAAAGTTCGTCAAAGTGTAAAAGGTAATCTACACCCGAGCTTTCAGAAAAGTTTGCAAAGTTATTTCTTCCGATTTGTACCACTGATTTATGGTGTTCTTACGCTGCTGTAAAGCTTCGTTTTACATAGAAATTACATTCTCATTTTTATAACAATTTCGTCCTACATGCTTCTTATGTCCATTGTGAGTACATCTCTGGCGTTCATACCCTTGAGGTTTCCGGCGCTTCCAATGTTTTCATCCCACTTGACGAATCGGTGAAATGATTTCTCAATGTATTGCTTAAGAAAATTTAATTAATAGTTTTGTGATGTAACTTTTTTACAATAAAGCTCTGAGGTTGGAGTCTTTTTTTTAAATTTCAATCCATACACAGCGACGAGGTGGCGACAACTACCAATAGGTAATTGAATTTTCAAAAACTATCAAACTTGAACTTTAAAAACGGACAGTGATAGACTGATATTAAATGTAGTGTTTCCGGTACTCCACCTGATGTAATAATTGCTGCATTCCATTCGATTCTGCTTCTGTTATACCCGAGATACCTTCCAAAGAAAGGAATAGAAATTGCTACTGCAAATTCAATAGAAATTTTTTCAATTAATAATGATAACAGTAAATTTGCACCAAATAAATAGTTTCATTGATACCCGTACCTTGAATCCAAATGTGTAGGTTTTAACTACAATTAAAATAGTGCCCACAAAGACCTCGGAGTAAGAACTAAAAAGACAGTCTCGTTTTCTTAACCTCCAAATCACCTAACTGACCTAACCTATAAGTAGATAAGTAAAATTTAAATTCTTTACAGTACTTACATACGGTTTTTTACGATTCAATCAGTTTCCTTTAAGGAGTGATTTATATAATGACATTTTCCGAAATATTGAAATGTTACGTTTATAGTTAATCAATTTACGTTCAAGTTCAAATTGATGATTGACATTTCGAAATTCGAAGATAATTTGTGATTGGCTTAGTTAATTTCCTAATTTGCGTGACGTCATTTCATTTTTTCCCTAGGGAAAAAATGAGCCACTTTAGCCCCGCATATGCAGTTGAAAATCGCGTCATTTTACACAGGGTATAGAAAAAACATTTTTATTACTGAGCTAGCCGTAAATTAAAAATTAGTTGTCATATTGGGATTTATACCAGTGCCGTAGAGATCCAATTTTATTTTATACAAGTGGGGTTTTCAACCTCTGTAAAACTGGCGTACATCATAAACACGGTTTTGCACCTACAACTAAAGATACAGAGATACAGAGCAACACCCTAGACTAAACCTAATTCTATTCCACTCCAATGACTCCAACCTCTTCGTGTACTCGCACCAGTTACATAAGTTTCGGAAATCAATTTGGCCTACTTACTTTATTGTACATAGTCGTATACCCTTGTATTTGATTACTCAAAATAAGATGTTTCATATTCACAATGGTTCTAAGTAATTTTCTTCCTGTTTACTTTCGTCTATTAAGAAGGTTAATTTAACCTAAAAAAATGTTATCCTGATGATGTTCCGAAATCGTAAGTAACTTATTTGTATACATGCGTGTTTTTGTGTTTTGCTTGTTCTTTTTCTGCTGATGTGCTTTTCTCTTTGTCTAAAGTTTTCGGCTTTGGTTTTTAAGTAACCATTCCAACTATCAAAATCTTAGGACCTATCGAATAAAGAAATCCTTGTATTGCACGATTGAGGACTTAATTTTTTTTCTACTCCAGTGTAGAACAGTGCATCGATTTCAGATACCATAGGATCCCCCAACTATCCACGGTCGTCGGTCAAGTAGTCTGCGATAATCCAATTTTAGCTATCAGCAAATTTTCGGAGAGAGTTTTCAATTCCAAGCCACATGAAGATGTTGCGGCTGTGATTTTATTTTCGTAGCGTGACATTAAGTACATGTTTGAGAAAAGATTTAGCGAGTTCAATTACAGTAAAACATGTCAAGAGAAAAAAATAACAATAGGAAAAGAACGCCTTATCATTCAATTACGGTTACATCTATACTATAAATTTGATATTCGGTTTCTTAGGATTAAGTACTCGATTGAGATATCCTGGCTCTAAAAAACAAAAATTAACACGGACCCATGTTAAAAATGTATGAATTCCATACGGTTATATACATAAGTACATAACAGACTGTAACAAAACTGATGAGCGGATATGTTTTTATTCATTTAGTTGAGTGGTTTGTTACGCGGAAAACATTTAATTTCCTTGCGCGCCCTACGTCGATCCCCTAAATATTAGAAAATTTACTACTGGTCTCGATAAATACTATTAAAATGTACACTACTTACAGTTACACTGTTACGTAAAAAAGAAATTCGAATTGCCAACTTGTAGTGAGACAACTGCGACGCTTTTCTCGTGCATCAAGTTAATCTCACCGTTCGTCTTGCGCTTCGAGCAAACATCTTCTCCGCCGTCACTTTCCGTATCCTATCAACCCTTAGCGCTTTCCCATTTCCATCATCCCACTTTTCCCCAGTTCGCGCGGCATTTTCCCTCTCGCCCTGTTTACTTGATTTAACGGATGCCGCAATCTACCGAACCCACACATATGTGACGTCATTCTTTGTATAGACAACCTGCCCACTTTTACGTTCAAATGACGTGCAAATCACTATACGTCCATATAATTGGGAAAATGTTGACATTTTTGTACTAAAAATAAAGACACGTGTTGGCGTTATCCGATTATGGTGTCCTTGAAAATTTCCTTTTTTAAATAGGATGAAAGCGAAATCTACAGGTAGTTAATAACTGGAGAAAAATATTATTTTGCTCATTCTCAGGCGGATTTAGTATTGGATTAAGTGTTTTATCAGTTGTTCTCATTTTGAACATTCATTTTCAAACATATATAATTAAATATTTAAATTTAATGTTTCATAACTAAGCAAATAAACGTTTTTTTTATAAATGAACAAGTAAATAGCGCATTTTATTGTCCACTTTTGCCTTTTCCGCCTACGCCAAAAAAACCTACCACTTGAAACTGTGTAATGTGTATTAAATCAACCCTTCCTGATTCCTGAGCTTTCCTGAGCAATTTCGCAAATCATGGTTATGTTAATGAATAATGATAATACGACTTTATGATGTTATCGAGAAAATATTACGTCTATTGGTACAGTTAACAATAATTCCACGATTTTCCACTATCGTTTGCTTACCACCCTGCTCTAGTGCTGTTTTCACCTCCATTTCGTCCCACATTCGATCATGTAGAGACTGGTCAACCCAAAAAGCCAACAAAATATGTTTTTTCTATTTCGATTTTTAAATGTTGTTATATACGCACTGTTTTCGATTCAAAACAGTGCGTTAATGAGTCCTATTAACGCACCGTTTTTAAGTTGGCAGGTATCACTAATTCGGAAATCCCTATGCTCAGTTATAAATATACAACTATATTTAGTGGGTTTTGGGTTAAAGGTTATGTCATATGAAATTCAGAACGAAGTTGTTTATATACAAAATGAAAAATTATAAACTAATTATTAATTAGGTTTAACTACAACGAACATGAAAGACTACAAAAGTTTTGCACGGAGCAATTATTATAAACATTCAAGTTTATCACACAATTCTCTGCTGCACCTGGTAAGTTTGTTTCGGACAGCGGTGTTACAGAGCTTTTTCTCATGTGCACAGTTTGAGCGACCTTATCACTCGTTTCTACAGGTTCGCATTGTCAAAGATCATACTACACTAGATAGCCAGCGTATATGCAAGAGTTGTTTCGCGTTTAAGTTAGTTCCATAAAAATATTTATAGGGGGCTTTCAAAGTTAAGAACGTAACTGATTCATCCGAAGCCGTCTTCGTACGAGTTCGAATCATATCATAAATACAAAGAGTGATTGATTATTGTCTAAACACGAGACACATAAACATGACCTACTGAACACTCGTCACTATCATTGGGATGAAATTACATTTGTAAGTGGGCGTGGCGTCATTCAAGACGAGGTAGATTCTATTACAGTCAGGACGTTACAATGAAAGAAATAATTTGAAAGTTGTACACAATATTCCCTTTGCTTTTTTTTAACCAGCGCTAACCAATACATTTTCCAGATTTTCGGATAAAATTAATAATTGCAAAAGCGTCTTTTTTCTTAGCATAATTTATGAAAACTTTTAGTTTCACGTATCTACGATACTTTAGCAAATCTTCAAATATAATATCACAGATTTAAATATACTATAAATCTGTGATAATATGCACCTACTTATCCAGGCATATTTACATTGTAACCACACATTTATCTAATTTAGATTTGTTGTAATTAAGCATTTTATGATTGGGATAAACGAGATATCCCGCTTAGCCTCCTACATAATAAAATTGTGTCCAACTAAAGTGAGTCGGAACGGAACTAGAAGCGTCTGTGGTTAAAATTTCAAAGAAATATCTCCATAAATATGAAAGTTGGCATTGCGCAGTCTGCGCAAAATATGGAAAATACGAAACTGATCGAAATGGGAAAATATAGACCATAACGGCTATCAATTAGCGAAAACCCGAAGTCTCTAGGTGGCCCAGGGGCCGAGATCTCGATGGAACGGATGGACGGACGGACGGACAGACGGAAACACGAGCACATAAGCTTTACCTCAACTTCGTTGTGTTACGATAAAAAATTTAATTTAAAACAAGATGTGAATATTTGGTATTTTAATTTACAGTAAGGTAACCAGATAAAAACATCTATAACACCCACACAAGGTTGCGCTTAGGAATGACACCGATATCCCATACAATAGCCCTTTATTCTAAAAATAACTGTGCTTTGCCATTTCGCGCGTCTTCTTACCCCGCCAGGTAGTTTGTACTATTCTCATAAAAACATAGCCGCTGGAGGACGCAGTCGACTTATTTGGCGGGACGAATTATGAGAGTCTAAAATTTATACAGCGCTGTCTATCTAGTGTAGTATGATCTTTGGCATTGTGTTGGTATATCGTCGTCTATCGACGAAGTTGAGCATGATGCAATCTGCGATGCTGATGTTATTGTGGATGACGGCTGATTTGAAAGCATCTGTGAAATTTCTACGCGCTTTTTCAATGAACCCTCTACATAACCTTCAGCTACGGTGGAGGATTTCCAGCCACCGTGCCGCTTAATGGTTAAAAGATTGCCACCGCTGTTAGCTAAATGAGAATCAGATGATCGCAGTGTCCCGAAAACTGCTAGGTAGTTGTAAGAAAGTAGCTATTACTTTTGGCATCTGACCAATCTTATTTATTCCGATAGGCTCATTTGTACACCTCCCGTTGCGGTAGTTGAAGAAAAATCTGCGGCTGCTCATGTGTTAGATGGTCTAAGATCAACATACTTCCTAACACACGCTATCCAATAGTGTTCCGTAATCGCAAACAAGCGAGACACATTTGTTTTTGTTTTAGGGACAGTAATCAAAATCATATCGGTTTTAAAGTCAGCATCGTCAATGGACATGCATGTTAATTCCTCTCTTCGCATGGCACCACAATAACCCATTAGTAACACCACCTAAAATGGTTTACTCAGTAATATGACTTAATGAAAATGTTGTAGTTACTTTTACGACGAGAAATATTTGGTCCGGAGCATCGGTAACAAATCGAGTGATTTGGTCAAAGTCTAACATTCGTGACTTTTTTGGTTGATACCGTTTCGAAAACGTTTTCAGCAAGGCAATCAACCTTGTAACTTGGAAATATCGATGTTGCGTTTTATGCTCAACATCGAACGGAGCTTGAATAGTTCGTCCAAATTGTTGAACTTTTCTTCGTTTGTCCCATGGATCGAAAATATGCTATTAAAACGGTTTCCGTGATTGAAGTAACCTGATGCTCCATTTTCCAATTTACAAAAATGTTGTATGATTTCTCATACTGATTTTTGGATTTCTCCGGTATCATTATCAGTAGCATTATTTGCAA